GCGGGGGGCGGGGCAGAGGGGAAAGGAAGCGGTTGCGCCCGGCCCTGGGGCGCAGCTGCGGCAGGGAGCGAGGTGCACGGGCGTGTCCGGGCTGCATCCGCTGCAGAGTGGAGCCCCGCCAGCTGCTGGCGTCTCCCGTGTCAGTGCTATTTCGAAATAGCTTATTTCATCCCTTTCTAAACACAGCGGTTCCCAAACGTCCCCTCCTCCTCCTGCAATGAGGGTGACAAGCATGTTGGAACAGCGAGCCCGAAATAACGGGCTTGCTGGGAAGACGCGGGATAGCTACCTCGGGACACGCTGGTATCCTGAAAGCGTGTTGCAGTGTAGATGTACTCGCAAAGAGCTGTCAGGGACCTGGGTTACAATAGGACAGTACGGGTACGTCTAGACTACAGGGTTTTGTCGACAGAACTTTTGTCGACAGATACCGTTGACAAAGCTTCTGTCGACAAAGAGCATCTAAACTACAGCCAGTTCTGTTGACAAAGCAAGCCGCTTTGTCGACATAACAGTGTGGACGCAAAGGACAGTGTAGATGCAATAATGCCTTCTATCGACAGAACTCTGCTGACAAAAGGCGTTATTCCTCGTAGAATGAAGTTTACATATGTCAACATAACTCAAAGGCAGTGTGGACGCAGGTATAGTTTTGTCGACAAAAGCCCACTTTTGTTGACAAAACCCTGTGGTCTAGACACACCCTACCTGTAAGAAATGTTAAGTTACTTTAACAACTGAGGCTGCAAGAGTTTTTCTGACCATTAGGGTATGTCTAGACTACAGGGTATTCTTCTGTCGACAAAGAGCGTCTAGATGACATCCAGTTCTGTCGACAAAGCAAGCCGCTTTGTCGACATAACAGTGTGGACACAAAAGACAGTGTAGATGCAATAATGCCTTCTATCGACAGAACTCTGCTGACAAAAGGCGTTATTCCTCGTAGAATGAAGTTTACATATGTCAACATAACTCAAAGGCAGTGTGGACGCAGGTATAGTTTTGTCGACAAAAGTCCACTTTTGTCGACAAAACCTTGTAGTCTAGAGACACCCTTAGTGTCTAGGGCCAGGTCCTGCGCCTTTGGGGTGTAGCCACTCCACTAGCATGTGGCCTGCTTTACAACCACTGCAGGGTAATCCCAAGCCAAGGCGGGTCACACACAAATTTCATAGACAGGACTTGTTTATACTGCTCTTAGTGCTAGACACTGAAATGTAAGTACAGTATTTATGTTCCAGGTGATTTTTATAATGATAATAAAACCAAGAAAACAAGCAATTTGGCAGCCGTAGTGTGGCTCTGACACTTGTATTCTTATGTCTGATTTCTGTCAAGTTTTTGAGTGAGATTAAACTTGAGGGTACACAAGAGGAATCAGCCTCCTGGAAGAAGGACAGTAGTCTGGAAAGATTGAGAGCCGCTGCTCTAGGACCGACTTGGCTCAAGAGTCATAATGGTCCTTATTAATTAGAACAGATTTCATAAGGAGGTAGGTTGTATTGCGGGAAAAGGTCATTCGTTGAATAGCCTTATCTTCTAAGGAAATAGAAAGGGTTAGGTATTAGTCCCCAGTACAAAGGTACATTTCAGATGAGAGAAAACGAGCCTGTGCACTGTGACAATTGTGACCCCACAAACACTCACTCAGAAGGCTTGTCTATGCCTGAAAGTTCATTCCAATTAAGGTAGACTGTGGATTTAAAGCATAATAGCTAACTAGGATTAACTTTGTGCCTAGAGAAGCCCTAACTGGCTTGGTTGTACTTAGTACTTGTTAGTGAAAAGAAGCCAACCAGTAGCCCTTGAAGAAGAATACTTAGCACCTGAGTAGTGAATTTTATCTTTAAAGAACTTCACGCCCACTAACTAATAACCCCAGCTACAGACTTCCCAGGCACCCAGCAGCTCACCAAGGTGCTTCATTCCTAAACTGAAGGGGAAACAATTCTCAAAAGATGAAGACATTGTAGAGGGTTGGTCAGCACCACACCAGCCCAGGGCACAGCTGAGAAGGGAGTAGAACCCAGGCTGTCTCCCAGGTAGCAGTGGCCATGGGACACTTGCTGAGCTCCCCTGTAAATAATGCCGTAAAGCTGTGTCCCTCTATAAGTGGGATTACACAGTCAGTCCCATTTTCTGCAGTATCACTGCTTAGCACAGTGGGTGTAAATGGGGGGAAGGTGCTTGAGAGGGTATTGCTCTGGGAAGACACAACCGAAGCTGTTGCCCAGTCTTTAGATTGTGTATTCATTATGTAGATTGTCAGTGAATTGCCAGTTACCACTCTGAGGGTGGTCAGAGCCTTGTCCCAGGATCAGACCTGCTATTTAAATAGTATGGGTGGGAACCCCCTTGTGCACAATTGCAACATTCACACAATAGCAACTCTTGTATATTTACAAATCTAGTTTATAAAAACGCTTAGCGCAGTCACACACACCCTGACTTGGCAAGGCAGGTAGGAAATGTACATCTGTATTTCCATATGCTCGCACCATCCCTTCTAGAACAACCTTGCCTTCCTCCTCCTCATCAGTGGCACCTTGCAAGGGCTACATCTCCTTTTCCGACTGCCCCTAGGGTGGGATGCCACTTGTATCATCTGTTACACTGGGGTGGTTGTGTTCGATGCATATTCAGTAGGGGATGTTTTCCTTTCTCCATATTTGTGTTTCCTCCTCTTACTAATGGAGAAGTGGCTTTTTCCGATAGCTCAGTGTACCATTGATCTCAACTTATCATATACGTCAATTCGTTCCCATGGCCCCTGTTGGGGTTATGTATCACATTTATTAGTTTTGTCCTACCCGATTATTCGGTTTGGTCTTAAGTGGTTGTTGGTTTTTTTTCTCCAAGTTGTGCTGTCCCTGTTAAGTCTGAGGGTATTTTTAGAAGCCCCAATGCCATTGAAGGTTGCTTTATATCGGTGAAAGGACCCGAATATATGCATATTGCCTTTGCTATCTAGGTGAAAGGTCCCAGGGATAGATCTGCTAGCTCTGTCTTCGCTCAGCATACAGGATATGATCTGTATGTCCCTTGCATTACAGCCAAGCTGCTTTAATATAAACCTATTACAATAATAAACATAAACCATAAAGAATATTTAGGCAAGCAGGCAGGCTAGCTCTCTAGGATGCACTGTATACTATGTGGTAGATGCACTGAAAACTGGAACAGGGAAAAGATACAATTTTGATGTTTGGAATTATTATCGTTATTATTATTATTATTGCTCAAGCTGTCAAAAAGTGAGGGCTGTCAAAAAGTGTCACTCTAACGCAGGCCTTATCTCCCTGGTGAGTCTCCTGGTGCTAAGCCTGTGGAGGCACCTGTATGTTTCCAGCAGCGGATGCAGTTTCCATAATCCCGTGGGAGCTGAAGAGCAGTGGTGGGGAGGAAGGCCAGGTCTCACTGTGCCCTGGGCCAGCAAAGAAGTGCTGCTGAGAAGTGATGTGACACAAGAAGGAAAACGAGAAACATGTTTTTGATTCTTCGGGTGGGAACTTGCTCCTCACGCAGCAGAAGGACATTCAGCACCAGCCTTTGCCATGCCCATACCAGTAAAGGCCTTTGACACCAACTTTCTTTGGATAACCAAGAGTTCACGTAATCATTTGGCCATGCATCAGATAAGCGCAGATAGCTGGAGTTTTACTTAGCGATGAGTCTGAAACCCTGTCCATACATGAGAAGTTGCAGTGGGACAGATCGCACGTGTCCGCATGAAATTATGTAAGTGATCTTTGTGCAGGTACCTGCCTTGACTTCTTCACCTGCTGTCCTGCTTCATGAGCCACTCCCAGGTGCAGCCCACTGCTTAAACAAGAGCAGTTTCACTTCCTCATACAGGAAAGGTGGAAAAACAACCCTTTGTGTCCTGCAGGAGGCCCTTGATCCTGTCACTGGGTCTTGAGCACCAGCCAATTACACTCTGCTGCCCAGAAGATTTTGCAAAGCAGGAGGAGTTAGGGCTTGTTTGGATCACAGGATAGTATGCTGCTCTACACATGCAAAAGAGCATTAGACTAGCCACATCCTGGCACTACAAAGCTCAAATGACATGTGGCATGAAGGTGGTTTGCAAATACTTTCACTTTCCCAAAATAACCTGCTGCCAGAAACTGGCTAGGTGCTTGTAGGAATCATTGAAGCGAGGGCTAACAATCTCTAGTTGCAGAATGAAGGCTTACTGCGACCACTGCGCAGAGTCACATGCGCTCACCAGTTTGCGTTCAGAATGGTGTGTTTAGTATGATAGCAAGCCACAGACGCCCTCGGGACACTCTTAGCTTCTGCTAAGAAAGGGATAGAAAATAAGACCCAGAATATCTTACCGCCCCTGTATAAAACTATGGTACGCCCACATCTTGAATACTGTGTACAGATGTGGTCTCCTCATCGCAAAAAAGATATTTTGGCCTTGGAAAGGGTTCAGAAAAGGGCAACTAAAATGATTAGGGGTTTGGAACAGGTCCCATATGAGGAGAGGTTAAAGTGACTGGGCTTTTCAGTTTAGAAAAGAGGAGACTGAGGGGGGATATAATAGAGGTATATAAAATCATGAGTGGTGTGGAGAGGGCTGATAAAGAAAAGTTATTTATTAGTTCTCTAATAGAAGAACTAGAGGACACCAATGAAGTTAATGGGTAGCAGGTTTCAATAGAAGAACTAGAGGACACCAAATGAAATTAATGGGTAGCAGGTTTAAAACTAATAAAATAAAGTTCTTCTTCACACAGTGTGTAGTCAACCTGTGGAACTCCTTGCCAGAGGAGGCTGTGAAGGCTAGGACTATAACAGAGTTTAAAGAGAAGCTAGATAATTTCCTGGAGGTTAGGTCCATAAAAGGCTATTAGCCAGGGGATAGAAATGGTGTCCTTGGCCTCTGTTTGTCAGAGGCTGGAGAGGGATGGCAGGAGACAAATCGCTTGATCATTGTCTTCGGTCCACTCTCTCTGGGGCACCTGGTGCTGGCCACTGTCGGCAGACAGGATACTGGGCTAGATGGACCTTTGGTCTGACCCAGTACGGCCGTTCTTATGCTTTAGCAAAATCATCCAGCCATCAAATTCCATGCATGTTCCATGGGAGCCAGAGCCCTAACACCACCAAGAGGTCCCTCTGAATTAGAGATGTTTATGGGTAACCTGAAGGGGCTGGAGCTGCCCCCACCCGCCATGGAGAGAAGTCTGCTCCAGCCCCATGAGATCCCCCACAGACAGGGGCACACCAGCCCAGCCAGAATGTTGCAGACAGGGCCACTCCAGCCCTGTTTAATTAAAAGGGATTTTACATCCCTACTCTGAATTCCTTACAGCCAGAATCTAGTATCAAAGATTGCAGAGCAGCACTGAGCCAAGGACTCTGTTCTGTGATAGCAGGGTGCAGAGGCAGGACATGCACACAGGTGTGAAAACAGAGGGACAATGGAAGGGCACACATTAAGGATGATAAGCCTCACCCTTAAAGAGTGAGGCTTATTGGTTAGTTAACCAGTGGGGGCTGGAGCAACTCCCCGCCCTCCACAAGCAGGGGTGCTCAAGCCCGCCCCCTTTTAATTGGTTAACCAGTTAAACAATTAACAGGATTTATATCTCTAGCACACACCAGTGTGACAGTGTTGGTGCATGACATACCTTGTATGTGTAGAACCCTGACCAGTGGGCGTGGCGGGGTTGTGTCACTCCTGCCTGTAACCTGGGTGATTTGCAATGCCTTGCTGTTGTAGCTCCCAACCGGGAACGCTCCCAAACAGCTTGCCAGCATGCTGGTCAGTCATGGCCCTGTGTCTGTGTAGTAGCAGCCAGCCAGTCACATTCTGGCTCTCACCAGCCTTGGTGATAATGTAGGGAGACCCCAACACACTCCCCAGTCCCAGGTTTCCCCCCAGAAATGTGTGTCTTCTATTGCTTAGCCCTTTCCTGGACAATACAAATAGGCTATATCTAGACTGGCCCCTTCTCCGGAAGAGGCATGCTAATTTCTCACTTTGGAATAGGGAAATCCGCGGGGGATTTAAATATTCCCCACGGGATTTAAATAAACATGTCTGCCGCTTTTTTTCCGGCTTGGGGAAAAGCCGGAAAAAAGCATCTAGACTGGCGCGATCCTCCGGAATAAAGCCCTTTTCCGGAGGATCTCTTATTCCTACTTCAAAAACATTTCCGTTAAAAGCATTTGCGGAAAAACATGCCAGTCTAGACGCAGCCTTACTCTTTTAAGGGAATAATATACACTGGCTTGTTATCAAGGTTACCCAGACTCTTGAACCTAAACCCACTGGATTAGATCAAACAATAAAAAGTTTATTAACTATCGAGACAGATTTTAATTGAGTACAAGTAACATGGCTCAGAAGTTAGAAATGGTTACAAAAATTAAGATTAAAACTCTTTTTAGTGTTTAAATTAAAGTATTGGATTCAAGCAAAGATTCTCACCACACACTTTCAGTAGTCTTACTGAGCAAATTCTTTCAGTCAGGACCCCTCACCCTGAGGCCAACAGCTGCTTCCTTTGTCATCTCAGGTGCAGAGAACAAAGTGGACAATGTGAGATGGAAAGGTTGCTTCGGGTGTTTTTATAGTTTTTTTGTCCCTCTCAGGTATTTCCACCCGAGAACCAGGAGACTCACAGAGTCTGCCGGAAGGCAGAGACTGTGCTGTTTCTTTGCAAAAATGCAGATCTCTGTCCCTGGGCCTGTCCCCCTTCTTTGCCAAAGAATGGCCACTTAGTAGGTACTGGCCCCTTAGCTATGTTGACATCTGGCTGGAGCTTGCCTTCAAGAAACTGGATTAACCACTCCGCAGACCTATCTGGAAAATACACTTAAGAATATGGAATCATGACTGAAGTGCACACAATGCTACTGTATGCACTTTGCCATGGTATTTCTGATCAGCAAGTTATGCGTTTGCAACTGATATCCCACAAAGCGTATCTTGTACAAATACTAGTACAGCTGGGTGTGAACACAAGGGTACAATCCATCGTAGGGGACAACAGCAAGGGTGCGCACTAGAGCGTTGGAGGGGCACTAGTGGGACATCCACTGGGGTGCTACAGAGCAATTAGTAATGGTAATGGCGGTTGGTCAAGAAGTTTGTGCAAGTGGGTCCCATTCCTGGTGGCAGATTTCCCCAATGCAGTAACTCAGAACATTTTCACTGGCTGTGTCCAGTACATGTTGCACTTGCACTCTTCTCGGAGCGGCTGCCTCACAGGTCACTCTACTTCCCACACTCTTAGGGTATGTCTACACTTGCACCCTAGTTTGAACTAGAGTGCAAGCGTAGACATACCCCTAGGCAGCAGAGCAGAAGCAGCATTAGTGCCACTATCAGAGTTACATGTTACATCCTTACTATCATACAGAAATGTCCAAACTTACTGACCCTCCAAGCTGCATACAACAATCTTCAAGAGCCAGGGTGTGTTTGCTGGGGCTCAGGGCTGATGCCCCACTCCTACTGAAGGCCTGAGCCCTGGCCGATGTGCCCTTGTGGCCGAAACCCTGAGACCTCCCCAAAGTCAGAGGCAACATGTGGGGACATACCCCTCCCCGCAATATCTGCCAGAATTTGCTGCCTCTGCTTGGTTAGTAGTAGGGATATAAACATTTAAAAAAGAGAAAACTGTGGAACCAATTGAAATTAAATTGGTTACACGATTAAATGCTTCGTGGTGGCTGCTGCCTCTGCTGGTCCTGCAGGTTCCTAGCAGTGGCCAGGCGTTTAACCGATGTTTATCAGTTTACTAACTAGAGATGGAAGAGTTTAACCAGTTGTGTCACCATTAACTCAGTTTAAAGGGAGAAAACAGAAGTAAATGTTATTTTCTCATTGCCAATGGATTTACCTAGTTCAATGCAGGGCTTTTCACCTAGTTCAGGCCCATGAAACTCTCTCTGGCTAGTGAGAAAATCTCAGATTATTTCCCCTCTACCCCTCATTTGCCACTTCTGTACTATGGGCAAGGCTGCCAACTCCCAGTCCAGGTCCGGAAGCAAATGGGCTAGAGCAGCTTCTGCCTGTGGCATGGGGGCCTCTCCAGCACACCCAACCCCATTTAACCCGTTAACATTTGACCGGTTAACTAATTAAAGGAGATTTTTACATCCTTACTGGGTAGTCACTTATTTTTTGTTCAGGTCCAAATTTCTCAGTCAAGGCATAGCGAGCTCACATGCCCCAAGCAACAGTTACAAGCGCTGGCTTTCTTAAGAACGAAGGACTAAATATCATCGGATACGTTTTTATTACAAAACAACGGACACGAGCAGGCGATGCGCGCACGTCACGGCATTTCCCCACGAAGACCCAGGCGCCTCAGCGGAACGACGCGGCCCGCGTCTCCCCGTGGGGCCCAGAGTACGTCATACTGTCACGAAGTCCCAACGCGCCCCCGGGAGTGGCCCGACACGAGGCGGCCGAGCGCGCGTCCCCCTGCGGGGGCTCAGTTGACGCGGCAGGCGCGGATCATGAGGAGCTGGAGCAGGATGAAGACGGGCGACATGATGAGCCCGTACCACAGCTCGGGGGTCTGCTCCACCAGCTTCTGGCACAGCAGCATCTCGAAGACGAACTTGAGGCTGAGCAGGGTGAGGACCCAGAAGAGGCGCAGCACCGCCAGGCGCTTCTCGCCGTCCTGGAAGAGGCGCACGGACACGATGGCGGTGAAGTAGGTGCTGAGCCCGTCGGCGGCGAAGAAGGGCCGATGAGCCCGTACCACAGCTCGGGGGTCTGCTCCACCAGCTTCTGGCACAGCAGCATCTCGAAGACGAACTTGAGGCTGAGCAGGGTGAGGACCCAGAAGAGGCGCAGCACCGCCAGGCGCTTCTCGCCGTCCTGGAAGAGGCGCACGGACACGATGGCGGTGAAGTAGGTGCTGAGCCCGTCGGCGGCGAAGAAGGGCCCGAAGACCCCCCACCAGGAGAGCGCGGCGACCCCGTCCAGCTTCAGCACGAGCAGCAGCGAGAAGAGCGCGAGCGCCCCCGCCTGCAGCAGCAGCTCGAAGGTGGCGAAGCCCAGCCACTGCACCAGCTCCCGCAGCGAGAACAGCATGGCGGACCCGGC